ACGCCGCCCTCATTTATTATTGGACATTTGTAGTTGAATTAACACCTTCTGGCCGTGAAAGGCCGACCCGTGCAGCCAAAGGTCTGATGAATGACTGCCAGCTTGGCTTCATTTCACGCTCGCTTTATAAATGTTTGACATCTCCATGCGAAAGAGCCGTGAGTAAATTAGCAGGCTGAAGCGGCCGTCATTAGTTACTCCTCATTACCGACTCCGTGTGTCTGTATTTCCACACCAGCAGCCGAATGTCAAGCTACGTCAGTAAGTGCACGGTGTCCCCACAATAACCCCCTCGGGCTTCTGCTGTGGAGAACATTATATCCTCTCTTCCCCCTCCCTGGGGTGAAAACCTGTACGATGCTCTGCAGCGTTATGATTGTGCCCAGCTGCTGACACTGTTGGACTCAAGAAAACTATTTATTTTTTGTGCTCATTTTATTTAAGCAAGAGTGGGTCTTTTTACGGATCATGGCTCTTTTAAATATGAAGAAGCAGCAAGCTGTCAAAATGAGCCATTTCCGGTATTTTGACAGTAATCACTGTTTTTATAGAGTCAAAATGTTGTGGTACTCTAATTTTTCTTCTTCATTTGCCATATCGCTTGTCTTATACAGGGTTATGGGGGTTTAAAGCCCATCTTGAAAATACCAGTCAGGACAGGGCAAACACACACCATTCACAATATGATAACGCCAATCCACTGTGGCGTGTTTTTGGACTGTGGGGGAAACTGGGGAACGTAAACCCCGCAAACGCAATGGGGAGTCAAACCTCGGCCTCCAGAGATATAAGACGACCATGCCACCCACCCACTTTACTCTTTTCCATCTTTCCACCCTAATGCTTGTAGTTTTGCTGTCTAATGGCCCATCTCCACCCTACGCCCTCTGGCCAACTTCCATATTCTGTCTTGCGTCTTCTACCTCAGTGTCTCTCAAACCAGTCCTAGGGGACCACCAGACCATCCACATTTTTGCTCCCTTCCAATTCCCTGGTAGTTGGGAGGGAGCAAAAACATGGACCATCCGGGGCTCCCCGAAGACTGGTTTGAGAAACGCTTTTCTGGATATTGCCACCTTTGGAGCACCAGCCTGAGACATTCATAAAGCAGGATGGTCTATCTGACAGCTGCTCCGCCTCTACAGGCTCTGGCTGCACCCTTATCTCAAAAGGCTTCCAAGGTGGATGGGGCCCTTAATGCCCATGCCAACGTCGCCACACAACCTCACCCATCTCTTCCAAAACCTGGAGGGACAGTCACCCATAATGCTACCCAAAGCCAGAGAGTCTTTGAGCACCTCAGCCCCAAGTCCACACTGTGAAGAATCAGCAAACCCTCTTGTGGAACATACATATGACTAAGTTTTACGCCTCTGCTCTCCGCCTCTGTCATTCACTAATTATAATGAGAGCTGGCTGCCAAACAAGCCCAACTCTGTGCTTTATAGACGTCATGGATGTCATAGGTGACCAGTGCAAACGCATTTGAAGAAAACACAAGTTGAATGATTTTCAGAGATGGGCTTTTTTCCGGTTTATGCGCAAGGACAGTGGCAATATCCACCATGTGACGAGATGTGGTCAGGGTCACTGGGGGGGGGCGCAGCCTATCAGAGTTAGCAGAGGGCACAAAGGAGGGGGGCACCCTTGACAAGATGCCAGTCTATTGCACAGTGCACACACACTATGGATGATTCACTGCAATTAGCCTAACTGCAGGTGTATATGGGTAGAAGCCTGCATGACGTGAGGAGAACATCCAGTGGAATTTAGATTCTTAAATACCTGTGGTGTTTGCATGGCAGGATTCAGCCCGTCATCTTACCACTGCACCTAGCAACACTTCCTGTCTTTTCCATGGCAACGCTTCCTTTTGCCCATTTTAGGAGGCTTCGCGCCAGATTGCACGGGAGCCTTTAATGTCCCCCACAATCGTCAGCGCAGTAATGGTGAGAACAGACCTGTGTCGGCAGTGAAATCCCTGACGGCTAATCAGATCCCCTACACATTGCTGATGAGCTGATTTACTGTGGGTCGGAGGTTCATGACGAAAGGCCCTCCATCTCGCCCGCCGCCCCCACCTGCCCCCCTCCCGATGCAAAAGACAGCAGCTGTTCCAGGTGTTTTCAAAAAATGCTTAATATTTATGAACTTCGTTTATTCCTGGTGTTGAATGAAGGACTTATTAAAGGTTGTATGTATTCCCTGCAGTTAACGACTAGAACCCAGAATGCAAAGAAACAACCACCCACAGCAGCCCCCACGCAAGGGGGAGGCGCTGGGCCGTGGAAGAATGACGCATCATCCGTATAACAAGGGGCTCTCTCTCTCTGATTGGCTGAGACGTGGGCTGATGTAGGCGCGTGGGAGACACCGGGCTCTCTGGGGGTGACTCACAGCGCTGACAGGCGTAAGGCACGCTTCGATTGGTTGACGTTTGGGATCCCATCATTAGAGTGACAACATTATTGGCATATGTGACATTGTATTGTACAAGGATCAAAGGGAATAGATAAACAGTGAAAGTTAATTGGCTGGAGATGGCTCTCTGTGTACAGGGAACAATGTGTATACAGATTTAACTGGGGAGAGGTTATGGGAAAAATAGAAGAAATGGAACAGATATGTTCTGTATGAAAAGAGGGAACACATATCTAGTTTGGGAGATAGCAAACGTGTGTGTGTAAAAGTCACAGGCTGTTAAATGAAACATTCAGAGCTATTCAGCTGAGTATTAACTGTGTATTTGTTAAGAAACACATTCTGATATTAGAATATATACAAATGAACTTACACAATAAAAAGTAACAAGAATTTCTTCTGTTTTCCTGAAAGTTACTAGTGTCTAGTTGGATATCTAGAAGAACACTGCTTCCCAAACATCAACTTAAATAACTTGGTTGGGTATTGATTAGCCAAGCATGGTGTGCTTGTGGTTCAGTCAATAAGTATATGGGTATATTGGATGGTTACAGAGAGATTTTGAAATGGCGAAGGTAACATCATTTGTCAGAAATCGCAGTTTCTACACCACCATAAACATAATTTTCTTTGACAGCCAAAGACTGGCTGTAGTGTGCATGGATCAATGACATAAAGATTATTATGCTTGGATCTGACTCCTTGTACTAACTGTTCCTTGTTTTTTCTTGAATATTTTATCCGGCATAATTTAACGTTAAGGTCTTGTGGAGAGATTATTGTACAAAGTCAATGACTTTTTTTAAATTAGATCTCACTTAAACCAATCAGTGATATATATGTTTCTCATTGTGTCTCATTAGTTCTGTGTCTGTAAGCCTTTAGTTAGTCCAGTCATTAGTGTTGTGACGTCATTAACGTCGTTGTTTTCTCTTGAGCGTGTTACCCCCGAAATAAATCCCATGTTCCCTCGACTTCTGCTCCTGTGTCTCCGGTCTGTGCCCCGTGCAACGTGACAGAAGGGCAACTAATGAACTGCCAATGCAGTTGTGGGCGCTCAAGGCTCACGGGGGGCAAAGGCTGATCTGTCTGGTCCAGTCCCACAGGAGAGCTACTGTAGCACAAATTGCTGAAAAAGTTAATGCTGGCTTTGATGGAAAGGTGTCAGAGCACACAATGCATCGCAGCTCGCTGCATATGGGGCTGTGTGGCTGCAGACCGGTCAGACATGTGACAGTGGACATGCGAGCATCAGAACTGGACCAGGGAGCAAAGGAAGAAAGCGGCCTGTTCGGGTGAATCAGGTTTTCTGTTACAGCAGGTAGATGGTGTCATGACCTGCTCCTACAATCCTCATGTGTACGACGCCCCCTCATTACCTACGCATGCTACCCCGATTGTGATCACCTGTCTCCTGTTATTTCGGCTTGTCTTGAGTATTTCAGCCCGTGTTCAAGTCTGTTTCCCCAGGTCTGTCGTAAACGTGGTTTGCCGTGTGCTCCCCTTTGTGCTGTCTGCCTTAAATAAACCCTGCTTGATCGCATTTACGGCTCTCTCGCCTGCTTCCCCGCTCGCCCGCACGCCGGTCATCACAGATGGCTGGGTGGGTGTGTGTTATTTACCTGAGCAAGAGATGGTGCCAGGATGCACTATGGGAAGAAGGCAAGCCAGCGGAGGCGGGGTGAGGCTCTGGGCGATGTTCTGCTGGGTAACCCTGGGTCCTGGCATCCACATGGATGTTACTTTGATATATACAACCAATCTAAACTCCCTTCATGGCAACGGTATTCCCCGATGGCAGTGGCCTCTTTCAGCAGGATAATGCACCCAGCCACATTGCAAATGTTGTCAGGGATGGTCTGGGGGTCATGAGAAAGAGTTCAAGGTGCTTGGCAATTCCCACAATCCCCTGATCTCAATCTGATCCAGCATCTGTGGGATGTGCTGGACAAACAAGCCTGATCCATTGAGGCCCCATCTCATAACTTACAGGAATTAAAGGATCTTCTGCTAACATATTGGTGCCAGATACCACAGGACACCTGCAAAGGTCTTGCGGAGTCCATGCCTCAACGGGTCAGAGCTGTTGAGGCAGCACGAGGGCGACCTGCACAATATCAGGCAGGTGCTTTTAATGTTTTTGCTACTCGTTACATAATACTATTAGTATAACATATCAATGCATTGAACTAAATTCCATGGAACGTTCCTTTAGTAAAAATCATAAATTCTTAAATTTTGGCATGTCAGTTCGTCTGAATGGCCTCGGTGGGTAGCACTGTGTGGGCATCATAAGGAAGCACCCTGGAAGGGACCCCCGGTGTTAGGGGTTCGAATCCTGTCCTTGGTGCCCTTTGAGTAAAATTTGCCTACCCCTCTTGTGTTTGCATGGGTATCTGCCCACAGCTGAGCAAACGACATCCCTAAGTTGCACACTATATATATGAGTGTGTGTGTGCGCATGTCCCCCCTGTTACCCTGTGCTACGTGGAATAGGCTCCAAGTGTCCCTGTACTTGATACACAGTGATGAGAATTACACTTTGTAAGATTGTGCTGTTTAAATAAAAACAATCAAAATGACACTCAAAAGTTTTTATTAGAAAAACAAAGCATTCAAATCTAGATTTCCGCTAATATAAAACTTTCACAGAGTAACACTGCACTTTTCCTCTATCCATTAACATTACACTCTGCAGGTCATGGCCCTTCGGTCTCATAGGAGAGGTGTGACCATTTAAAAAAAAAAAAAAAAAAAAAGGTACAGTCTCTGCTCCAGCAGCACCTGGGACCACAGCCTATTAAGGTTTACATTTTCCACAGATTACAGCTTAAAATCAGCTTAGTACAGTTACTTGCCAGGCATCTCTGACAACAATCACACCCAGTGTAGCCATTGTCAACCCCTTTAAACATTACTTTAAGGATTCCTTTGATCCTAACTTACACACTGTCGACGGAGAGGCTCATGTGACATTCTGTGCACAGTATAATGTGCAAGTACAATGTTAATCTAATTTCCATCCTGGCAGTCATTTTATGCCTTCATGCTGAGATCTTGTCCATTCCCTCCCATGCTCAAATACGTATTTTGCTGGAATCCAGAAAAGGTACACTCAGATCCACTCCCCCTTAAAGTACTACAATATACTCGGGAAATTCTCCCCCACCCCACTTTATATAAAGATTCCTGAATCCTTTCGAATTGTTTACGATATGCACCTGCACATTTAAGTTGTTCCTAAACCGTCAGTAGTCAGTGATACTGATCTGGCCGGAATGTCGATATAATAGGCCGATATGGTGAGTTTATTTCCCCGATATATAACCCAGAAATTCTTCTGCGGCTGTCCGCGATCGGGACTCCGGCTCCAGCACCAGTGAATCGAGCCGCATGTTCATCCGCACGGCGACCCATGGATGAACAGGTTTCACCCAGGTTAGGACGCAGCGACTACCGCCCGTCAGTCTGCCTGTCCCCTTGACGTTTGTCGCCCGTATATTCAAAACTGCTCTGCTAGGGTTTATTGCTAGATCGTCTTCTCCACTATCATTCCCTACTCGGCGCGCCTCCTTCCGAAGACCGCAGACACGCTTCTCACGATGCCTTTAATCCCCACAGTTCCTTTCTTAAGAGCCCTGGCGTCCCGTATAAGCTCAAGCAGTTCGTGAAACACCAGCAGCACGCCGTGGTAGTTCTCGGCGGCCGAGGTCTCGAAGAAGCTGCAGTCGGTGGACATGGCCAGCAGCCGGCCCTCTTCGCCGGAGACGGCGCGCTGGTGCTGCAGGTCGCGCTTGTTGCCCACGATGATGATGGGTGCGCCGCCGGAGCCTTTCTTCGACTGCCGAATAAGCTGCACCTGTTGCCGCACCACTTCGAAGCTGGATCGGTCGCAGATGCTATAAACCAGTATGACACCATCGGACCAATGAAGTTGCTTTTCGGTCACGGATTCAGCGGTTTCAGAGTCCTGGGCGAAGGGAAAGGGCAAAACATTTAATTTCATGTCGAAACTCTTAAGCAATGCCACTGCAATGTGAAAAAGCACACATGCACAACAGACTCAGTCCATAATGTTTTACGCGTGACTTACCTGTGGGTACAGCGAGTCCCAGATGTTGAATGAAATTTCCCGTCCATCTATTTTGTCACTGTGACTGTATATGGACTCTGGAAAGAAATCAAACGGAGGATCAACGTATGGCAAATGGCAGTTATTCTGCGCGATAGAGTCGGTATTATTAAGTTGGATTTCCCATGTTGGACTTTTGCTTACCTATATCGCCGTATTCGCCAATGAATCTCCTGGTGAGGAATCGCACGGTCAGTGCTGCGGGAGAAGCGACATCGCACAATCAAACAGGCGCACATGTGTTTGTAAACAGGACCTCAGCATCCACTTAAATTTATACACGTATGCTACTCAAAGCATCCGTTGTAAAGGCAAATTCACAAAGCTTACCTGATTTCCCGACGTTTTCAGCACCAAGTAGCAAAATATTCGCTTCCGTTTTTTGTTGGTTGCTATCCATCGTTTTGCTGTTATTGGAGCTGGGTTTTACTTGAACAACCATTGGTACGATGTTTCCTCCTTTCCGATTCAAACGCTGTAGTGTAAGGTGTGATGAGCCGACGCTGGTTTATATACATTGTAGGCGGGACCCCAAACGAGGTTGATCATATGAAGGACCAATCAGATGACAGTAATATTAGATTCGGTATTAAAAAAAATAATAGCCGAGGTGGTAGAATGGAACACATTGTATTATTAACCACCTACGTGGGGTAACTCAAGTCATTCGGGTTGTTGTTATTTTCATTGACATTCCGGGTATTTTTTTAATTTGACGTTTCACAAGATATAGGACAGCTGGGCTGTATACCGGTATAATTACATAGGCTTAGTATTTCGATATTTATATGTAACTGAGGAAAAATGAAATTTATTGGCGTTTAGCAGGCAACACGAGCACTGTCTGGACATCGTTTTTGGGAAAGACGATCACTAACAGAAACATTTGTAATTCACCCTTTACACACAAAACAGTCCAACTTGTACGTACTTTTAGTCAGTTTTTTTTATTTTTATTTTTTTTATTATTTCTCTGCTGGAATTAAATTAGCGCATTGTGTTTCATCTACCAGAACACAAAAACTAAAGGGCATTTGAATATTTTAATTAGCAGATAATAAAACTGGTATCACCTGAACAGGAATATAAAGTCTAGAAGAAAGGAAATGAACCAGTTCGCTCTTAGACCGACGATTGATATTGGAAATGGGACTGAATTGAAGACATGCTTTCATTACATTATAAAATGTTGGGGGCAATATATTTTTTCTTTTACTGTGCGGGGAGGTTTGTCGGTAGAAATATCAATCTGGGGGCAGTGCAAACAGAAGCATCCCAGTTTTTTTTTACTATTTACCTTGCACGAAAATGGACGGCTGGGTGGATGCCAGAAGGCGGCTGCAATTTTAACATAAGAATAAAAGATCGTTGCCTGCTTCTCAGGAACATTCAGTGGCGTCTCGATAACCCTGGTTTAGACTTTAGAGGAATTATTTCTATTACGGTTTAGCGACATGTAGCAATCGAAGTCACAAAACGGCGCCATCGTGTGGATGTGATTTTCTATGCTCGTTTACAAATGATCTGCAGAGAGGACGTTGTAGGCATACCATTGAAACAATGGTGTAATAACTTAATGATTTACTTTCACAAAATTCACAGCATTGTTTAAAACATTGTGATAGATATTTTATTTACAATGCAGTTATACAGTTATTCCAATGTCTGATTGTACCAAAACTGCTAAATTTGAGGAAACAGATCTGAATGACAGTGGCAGTACACATAATCTTTGAACGTAATGTAGATTTGCTCAACATTAACATGATCTTTTATGTACTTAATAAGAAAAGTAATACAGGTTATCAAACCTTAGTAAACATAATAATCTGACACCACTGGTAAATCCCCAGCTCATCCTACACATTACTTACCAACAAGTCATATTTCATATCAAACATTGTCTTAAACTGATACAAGGAAGAATTTATTGCCAACATATTGCTTAATCCCAGATTCACCTGCATATACTGCCATGGCAGGGAATACAGTCAGTGCTGTAGACTGTCACTAAACCTGACTTTTTATTCAATAGTTGACCATGTTTTGGCACAATTATATATATCTCTAAAAATGCATATCTTTAAATACTGGAGCTTAATTCTTAGACTCAATACATACAAATAGTTTATGTATGTGACCAAATATTTTAATCATTTGCAGCTCTGTTGAAACATTTTTACAATTACAATACTATTTCTGCATTAATATAAAAAACTGGATGTGATTAACAATGCTGATTTAGTAGCATCATGTGATCTATTGATCTTAAAATAACGACAAAAATGATTTTCTTGCATGATCCTTTGTTCCATTTAATAAAAACTTAAAGTTGCATAGTAAATGATTATATTGGCAGGCCTAGGGACACAGATTAGAAAACACTGCAGCTGTGAAAAAAACTTTGATATTAAGGTACTTTTAAGAGGAAACACTATTCATCAAGCCTATTCATTTGTTACATTTATACTTTTGCAGTTACTACTTAAATAGGATTCAGTGAACATGATTTGAACAATGTAAATGTTATATTCCTGCTCCATACATTTGTACGTTTTCTTTACTTAAACAGTCTTTGAATAAAGAAAAAACAAATACTGTTTACAGTAAACTTGAATATGTTTTGTGTATCTGCATTAACAAACATTAAGGATTCTTGGTCTATAATGAGACACAAACTCAAGCATTATGTCCCAGTGGAACAAGACTGGACCTTCAGTAACACTAAAACAGAAAATGCGATACATTTGTATTATGCGTCCTTAAATAATGTCACGTGTTTGAGGTTAAATGAGGTAATTTGTACCAAAGGATTTTTTCTGAGATACATTCAAAATATTAGAATATTAGAATACATCTTGTATAGATCAATGACATTTCCTAACTTTATAACAGCGTTTCCCCAATCTGGTCCTTGGAGACTCACAATCGGTCCTTGTTTTTGCTCCCTCTGAGCTCCTTGCCAGACAGTCCCCACAGTGAGCTGGGAGGGAGCAAAAACCTGGACTGCTGTGAGTGCCTGAGGACCGGGTTGGGAAAGACCATTTCACAGGAAGTCTACACCCAAGCCAAAAAAGACTCTTCCAGTTTGTATAAAATTGCTGTTGATTCATTATTGACTGGCCAATTTTAATGTGTAGCAGACATCTTGTTAGATACATCAAGTTCATAAATTTTTAAAGGACAAATTTACAGCTTAAGATTTCTCAACAGTGCAATTGCATTTCCTCTCCTGGAATATGAACGAAAAACCTCTTCATCAAAGGTACAGATTCTATAGTAAATTAAATTGTTCTCTCTCTCTCTCTCTCTCTCTCTCTCACTCACACACACAGCAATGATTTAGTTGTCTTCCCTCTCGCATCCGTCATCCTGACGACCTTTCTTCTCAGGCACGTCCTGGGTGGCCGTCGCCATGTCCTGTGTCCTCTTTAGGGTCTCACTCGGCTCCATGCTCTTTGCACCCACCTGACTCTCCGGCGCCTTATTGTCAGGGAACCTCAGGAGGGAGGGGTGAAGTGTCTTACCGAACGTTTTATTTAGGTTTTCCTGGAAAAATCTATGCAGCTTCTCAATAGAGACGGTTTCCTAAGAGGGATATATCAAGATTAGCTTCGATTAACATCCAGAGGCAGACAGTGATCTGCAAGAGGTTTACTGACTTATAACTAGTGCCTCAGAGGTAAAATGGAACAGTACGAAGAACACGAAAGAACAGCAAAACATGCCATGGTCTCATACCTCGGAAACATCCAACATGGTGTCCAAGAGGACCCAGACGTCAGAGACAAATTCTGAGGGGGTTCGGTATGAAGGTGACAGCTTCCGAAGCAGCCGTCCGCGAATCAGTGAGATGTCTATGTAGTTTGAAGAGAGCTGTGTAGATAAAGACATGAATGGGATTAATTTCACAACAGGTGATGCAAAATGGACTTCATCCCTCAACATGGAAGCTATGCTGCAGAGCGATCCGACCCCCAGTTGTTGGATCTGAGACGTGGGCACATACTTGCGCTGAGCGCTCCAGGACGTCACCATCTTTCTTGCACAGCAAGGTCAGTAAGAGGTACTCGCATTTCTGTCAGCAGGGAGAGACACGTGGAGTGATGCTTCTTAAGACCGGAAAGACCACATGATGGGCCTGAACAAATGATCTGGGTTTCGACAACGAGCTTCAGACCCAGAAGCTCATCAAAGTCAAAGTGAACTTTATTGTGATCCTTCCATATACAAGTATACAGAAAAATGAGATGGCAAGCTCAGACTCCACAGAATATACATCTAATTGAATTTTTACACATAGTATAAGTAGACACAGAATTCAGGAGATACTGAGGAAAAAAAAGACAATGTTCCCCCATTAAATGATTCAGCTGCGAAAGATGGAATCTGGATTTGCATCCATATACCTTCTGATCTACTAGGCTTAATGTGGGCCTCCTCTCTCTCTCGGTGCTGTACGGGTCCTCGTTGTCAGAAAGGTCCTGACACAACAAGCACTTCCACTCGCCCCTGGAGAGACAGAGACATGGCCGTTAAATAGGTCGCCAATGGCAATCAAACAAAAGCAGAAGGGTCTGGAACCATCTTGTATTGTTGTCACTGGAAGCATCTCCTTTGTAGACAACAGTACAGACAGACAGCCAGGGGAAACTGGTAGTGCCAACCACCTACCAGGCTATGGAGCTGATTGGTGGGATGTGGCAGTCCCTGTGAAAGCCCCTCCCACATTCTGCACATAGCCAGAGTCGCCCCGTGGTACGGCAAGTGGCACATTCTGTCTCAGGATGGTCGGGGCTGCCTTGCATATAGGGGGCGTTAATCGATATGAACTGGAGAAGGAAACGGAGAAGGAGGTACAGTGGAGCTGAAGTTCAGCTGAAGACTTCAGGGTGAGGGAGTCAAGCGGTGGACCAATGGAGGCACAGCAGTGAAGCACACAAAGGAAGCACTCAAAAGCAAGGAGAGGTTGTGATGTTAATTTTTGTGCATCTATGTAATAAGTACAAGAGCCAAGAACTTTGGGCCTGATTGCTGGAGAGACTACCTACCCAGCCGTCAGTGTACCTACCTGCTGGTCGTCATCGGTAACCTGAAGCAGGACTCTGTTCTCGGTGGAGCCAGGGAGCAGGCGAAACTGGGGTAGGGGGTTACCGGCGGGGGGGAGGAAGATAGGCAGCCGCCACAGGGAGACCAGGGGAAACTGGGTCCTGGAGAAACAAACAGCGACATCAAAGCCAAGGCAGGTTAGAGGCAACTGCTGAGAGAGGAGATACAGCCGCGTAGGACATGCATACCTGCTGAGGGCGTCTGCGACTTCCGGTGCTGCCGAAATAGCCGACAAACCTGAGGCACACGGCACAAGCAGCAAAGCACCGTTTCACTATGACAACCCACCACAATGACATTCAGAAACATGACAGAAACGTGCAAGAAGACATTTTAAAATGTGCTGCCACGGCAACAATTGACTGTACAGTAGCAGGCTTTCCTTGCAAAGATATGCAATATTTGGCCCCTTGAGGCACACAGAATCATATTTACTATAGAACGTGATATGACTAATAATTTCTTTAAAAAAGGCAACGATGAAGACGAATTCAGCCTCACCATCGTCACCATCCGCCGTCTGATCCTGCTGCAGTGAAACAGGCGTCAGACGCGGCATGAGCTCTGACGGGCGTGATGAGCCCGCTTTCCTCGAGTCACCCGTCTCCTCGGAGCCGTCATGTTTGCTCACGGAGCCTGATGAGCCAGACTGGGAGGCGGCCTGTCTGTCTGTCACCAGTAAATCCCACAAACTGGTCGGTTGCTGAAGTTTTAAGAATGCCGTCTTGTCCGGACTGGAGTTCACCGGCCGTTCTAGCAATTCCCGAAAGCTAGACGGGGTCCAGGCGTTCCTGCCGTGTGATTTCTGGGGGGGCTCCGTGGTAGGATGACTTCCTTTGGACAGCTCTGGCCCGCCGGGTGCGTTCCCTTCCACATTGCTGGGACTGAAAGTGCTGCCTTCCTTCTGGCGTTTTTCTGAACATAGGGATTGATCCTCACGCTGATCGCTTTCCTCTACATCCCCTGCATCAACCAGAAACAGGCTCTCGGCCTCCGCCACGGTAGAGGTAGGCTCGTTCTCCGCAGCCTGGGTCCGTTTGTCCACACCAGACTCCCTTCCACTGCCAGCAGGGGGCGCCCTCTCACACGGAGAGTCAGCTATAGCTTTCACAGGCAGGGGACATGGTGGACTCTTGAAAGACATCTCATCTTTGCCAGGAGAATTGTCACTCAAGGACCTAACAGACTGGATGGAGAAGCCCATGTTCCACAGTTCAGGGGCGGTTTGGTGGTGGACGGATTCAGAGGGTTGGAAGGGGCGCGTCTTTTTGACATCTGAGCTCACGTTCAGGACGTTAGCGGCAGGAGAGTCCGAGACGATAATAACAGAGGGGGTGACGGGGTGGACCACCGCGGGTGAAGAGAGAGTCAACGGAGGGACAGAGAGGGACGAGCCAGGCGGCTGCAGCCCAAAGCCAAAACAGTGAGAGGGATTGAGGGAGGCAGAAGCTAAGTCGGAAGCAAGTTTGGGCTTTTTAGGCTGATAGTTGTGGAAAGACCAGGTCTTCTTGCTATTCTGTAGTTGGGAAGCAGCAGCGTGATGCCTGATGGAAGGCGAGGGAACCTGAGACACGGGCGGCTGGGTGCTGCGAGCAGAGCTGGGAGGAACAGACGACGGATTGGAGGTGAAAGCAGCCCTAGATGTGGTGGCGGGAGGGGGCGGGGGGGGAGGGAAGGACGCAGCCGCTATCGTGCAGGGATTGGAGGAAGAGAAAGGAAGCACGGAGGCGTAAGGGGTGGACGCCTGGGGGGGGGCGAAGCCGCGGGGGTGGAGGGTCTGCTCTGGAGCCTTGCTGGGGGGGCAGTGGAAGCTAAGACGGGCAAATGGGACCTCCTTGGTTATAATTTTGCCTGAGGATAAAAGAAAAAAAAAATCATAACAGAAAAAAGATCCTTATAGGGCAAAACTCGTTAAAAATACATTGTCTGAAATATGCTTGTTTACAGCCAATAACTTAGAGAGACATTGGTGTCTAACAAGAAACAGTTATCAGCTTTGACAGGAAATACTGAAGGAGTAACAAAAGGGCACGTCTTATTACAAAGAGTTATTTATTTTAGAAATAAAATATCACAGAACAACATGCTCACAGTGAATGACACACCAAACTTAGTGATCCGACTGCAGATTTCCTGGTCACAGTGGAACATCACATCCATCATAGATGTGGCAGGCAAAGAATTCTGGGATAGAATGTCCTCCAGCGCTACCTGAATCTGCAATTAAAGAGGAGATCAGAGGTGCTGACTGGACACCAATACGCTGTGGTCAGGTGACCCCCATCACTGTGGCCCTGCACTGCATACTGTGGTTTCACCTGTCGCTTGTTGGAGAGGAGAGCGATGTCGTTTCCCGTTTCCAGGGCGTTGTCTGTGAAAGCCAGGACGTAAGTCAATCTCGCCTTCAGCTTCTTCAGTGTGGCCTGTCTCTCTGTCACTCGCTCCACCTCACTCCCACAGAGGCCCTGGTTGGAACAGAGCAAACGTAAACTTGCACACAAGCCTAAAACAGTCCCTGAAGATTAAATGTGTCCTAGTGTCGGCTGGGAGAGCTTATCCGGTACCCTGAAGCCAATCCAAGCCAGCACTGAGTACAAACAGCTGAGAGATGCATCACAGGGGAGTAATGTGGGTGGGGGGGGAGATCCGGCGTGACAGAGCTTCATGATGCGGTACCTCCACGTCTTTGAAGAGCTTCACAGATCTCTTCATGAGGATGTAGCGCATGCGGACGAGGGCTTCCTGCATCTCGTCCTTCAATTTGGACTTCAGGCCTGTCAAGTCTTGCAACCTAAGGCAGGACATGCGAGGGGTCAGAGTTCAAGGGAGTTACAGGGAAAGCTTCACCACGGATCATGAAAACCACTGATACTTGACGTTTGCCCTGAACTTTTCCAGCCAAATAAGGTCAACCGAGCTTTTGCATATCAGTTGGTCGCTGAAAATTCTCCACTGGCCAAAATTCACCTTTCACTACAACCCATTTAAACATTATTTTAAAAACCTCATAAATGTCTGCTTCTAGCACTGGTCAGCAACTGGCCCAACCTTGGGGAAGGCATAGCGAGGCATAGACCTTCGAATCCACACAGTGAACGCTCCACGCAGTGAACGCTCCACGCAGTGAATGCTCTGTACCTTCCATCCAAGTCCTGGAGACTCTGGCTCACCATCTCTCTCTGCTGTCTGACTCTCATTACCAGGGACTCAATCTGTTCCCTCTGAGTCGTTACTGCCTCATGGAGAAACTGATATCTGGCAACACAGAGGGAAACAGACAGGAACATGAAAAAACATAAGGTAGAAGCCAAAAGCACCAGTTTGGTTGAGAGTGACCGCCATTGGCGTACAGACGCGGATCCCCGCCCCTCCTCCACCTGTGGTTCCTGTGATAGGTCAGCTGGCAGTCCCGACAAGTCAGCTGGTTGCAGGACATGCAGAAGAGCTTCATCACTTCCTCTTTGTGGGTGGAGCAAAACACTGTTGGGACGGAGTCTAAGGAGAGAGATTTCACACACTTTACATAGTCGCACTTGTTGCAAAGACATTCAGTTTATATTAACTTGTGATGTGTGTAAGAGTGTGTTTGCTCTGCATTGGATTAATGTTCTGTGCTTCCAAAAACAGGCTCTGAATCACCCCAACACTAATGGATGGGGCTCTATTGACAGTGGATTCACAGTTAACAAAATATCAATATTATTAGAGGAAGCATTGGGTTTGTGTTACCAACCAAAGCTAATTACAAGCACTGCCTAATCACCATCCAACCATCTTCCAAAAGCTTATCCTGGACAGGATCGTACGATACCCTGAAGCCAATCCAAGCCAGCACTGAGTACAATGCTGTACACCCTGGATGGGATGTCAGTCCACTACAGGACACATACACTCACAAACTTTGGTGATTAACCTAAATGCATCTCTTTGGACTGTGAGAAGAAACCAGTCTACCAACATGAAAGCCAGGGAAAGCAGGCAAGCTCCACATGCAGCAGAGGCGGGATTCGAACCCATAACCCTACAGGAGTGAGGCAACAGTGCTGTCCTCGGAGCCAACATAATAAATAAATCAGGATTGTCCTGTGTGATGCTTATAGATGACTGGATGATGGCAACACGCAGTTAGCATTAGCTTACGTAGCCTCATCAAGCGCACCTGTAGGTAGTTTCTGGTGAAGGACAGTGTGGTCGCGAGTCACCCTCACTCTCTGATGGGCTGACACACAGATGGAGCACAACGCCTCCCCACACTCCACGCACCAGCCGCTGACCGCGAAATCCTCACAGCCGGCACACTAAGAAAGGGAGACACCCGCCATTACGAAATATCAGCCGGAATTTCAATGGTTCTTTTTCGGCTCGTCTATGTACCATTACAACCTTGTCTGTTCACTTATTACTTTTTATAAAAACATTTATGCACTTAATACTTATTCTGATTTGCCAGGATGAAAGAGGAGGACAGACTAGCTGGGATAAACAGCTTTATAGAGGAACGCGATCCACAAGACCAGAAGACGACACTATTTTAGCACTTGGATCACGGACAAGATTTTGAGCAAAAAAAGATGCAGGCTGTATTGCGACTCACCTTGCTGACTTGAGTGCTTGACTGCACTGCCGGACCTTTCAGAAACCGGTTAGCTGTGACCTCTAGTGACGTATACGACCGTTCACACACGGGACACTCTGGGGAGACAGAGACGCCAACAATCCACTTATTCAGCCGGTTGACACTAATATATATGAATACAGTCCATTATGTCCATTCCATAATGCTTGGCCAATGTTCTCATCACCAAACAAGGGTTTGGAGTTCTTCAACACCATCGACTAAGCTTCCAAAATGGTGCTTAACACTATGCAGCCTAAAAATCAATTGGCCTACTCAGACATAACCATCCTCCTCCAAAACACAAAGTGAACCAAGCTTATAGACACCCTATAAACGTGATCCATGGGTCAAACTATGCATTTGGGAAATGCAGATGTATTATAAATAGAATTTATAACTGAAACACAATATATCTATAAATATTGAGCAAAAAATGCAATAGCTTTATAAAAAATAATCAGGAAAAAGTTGGATTCACATCCCAGGTTAAGGCTTCTGAAGTTGTATATTCAGCTGGGTTAAACACGGTTTTGTGTTACAGCGTATCGTAATGTAACCCTGGGCGATGCCCTGACTAATCGCCCACACGTGCCCACACCTCTCCTGCTGCCTCTGGGTCCCTGTGGTAGCGTGCAGGCTTGGCATAGGGAGTGCAGACAAGGAAGGAGCTGCGGGTTTCTGTCCGGCCCGAGGAAAGTGCCACATGTGCCACAGAACCCGAGCGAATCCGGGCCGGGCGCTGCGCCCGTCGGTGGGGGGAGCGGCTCGGTGCTTCCTGGGTCCACTTTGGTTTTGGTTCGGTTGCATTGAGGGAGAAGAGCGAGAGCAGAAACAGATGTCAGCGCACAGTAAAACAATACGGACGACCTATGGCAAGCCGAGCTGTCTGACTGTCATAAGACTACTCTCCGTAACTTAATTCTTACTAGCAAAAGTAACATTCTTACTCGTAAAAATTCAATTTTTACTAGCAAGAATATGAATTGAAAATATGTACAATGTGATTCTTACTAGTAACAAAGATCAATTTTACTAGTAAGAACTGTAGTTGTAATATTTAAGAAGTTTGTATTGTAGAGCTCTATAATTAAATTTTCATTGACTTCCAAGAACTCCTATTGTAGATATCTGCAAATACATTTTGACTAGTAAGAATGTAATTGTAGAGATCTGTAATGAATTTTTTACTAGTAAAAACGCAATTATGGATATTTGGGCTTGGAATTCTTACTAGTCAAAATGGGATTAGAGATTTCTACAGTTGTGACTAGCAAGAATACCATAATAGATCTCTACAATACAATGGAATTAGTAAAAACTGAATTCAGAATATGTGAGGCCAAAATACAGTGTAAGTCAATGAGAATATATGTCTAGTTCAAATCGAATTACAGAGCTCTACAGTACGAATTCTTACTAGTAAAAATATCGTTCTTACTAGTAAATATGACCATTCCTACTAGTAAGTAGATATCTTGAATTCATATTTAAAAATTGCGTTTTTAATAGTAAGAATGTTATTTTTACTAGTAAGAATTAAGTTATGCCACGTAAGCCTCACGCTGATAAAATACAATTTGGCTTTGCCATAGACGACCACTGCACGTTGCGCATTCCTAATACGACAGACTATTGCAAAACAAAGGAATAAGCAGGACTTACTTCTGCATGTATCCTTAAAGGAAATCCTTTGTAAAATAACGGGTTGATTGTTGCTGTCCTATCAAGTTACTTAAAGATACATTGTAACAATTACAAATTTTATTTCTTTTAACGCAGAGCGGGGTTTTCAAGTAACCTTGTTGCTTTGATCACAAAATAAATATCCATGTTCGCTACGTGCAGCATAGCATGTAATACGCCAGAACACACCTTACATAAAAATAGAGTTATACACATAACACCGAGTGAATTACCGACGTTAAGTAATTACTCGTCTTTATAGGTACATGCAGCGAATGAGGTAAGACGCGCATAAGTTTACTGGGTCGCCGGGGGATCCTGCTCCGTCACCCGCTCCGACAGTCTCTAAACAGGAAGATCGTTTCTTACACGCAGCAAAGCGACCCGGAAGGCGAGAGGACCGTGAAACCGCCCCCCCTGCTGCTCAACGTCGCTCCGTCCCATATATTATAGCGGATGACAATAACCGATAATTAAATTTTTACACGAAACAAGTTTATTTCTGATGGGACAAATTACCTTTGTCATGGCTATACCTAGGTTATGGGCTGATATTTGTGCCACTAGTAACTGAATATGAATAATGTAGGCCTATATTTGAATCTGCAGTTGTTGCATTAAATATCCGAATCTGAATTTATTAGTGTGAATCTGAATTCCAATTAACTGGAAGCTGCATTTATCCTGCCTGGAACATGTGACGCTCTAGAGTCTATACTTACAAATTATCTTCTCCCAATTCAATTTCAATTCATTGAGACACGTACACTATCCGGGTTCTTGAGGAAAAGTAATCGACCGCGCAGGTTCACAACGCAACTCATTTCCACGTTTACCACAGTTCCGCGGGTTGGTGTGAAGTGGAGGCGCTTTCCAAGGTTTCGCAAGCGCAAATTCAGGATCATGCAGTCATGGGCAAAAATAATGGCACCCCTGCATTTAGATTTTTTTTCCTTTGCTTTTTTTGTGTTCTTCCAGTGCCAACAAAAGAAATAAACAGGCAATGCCAAAGCATTTGTAATTGCGACAATTTTCTGGGAGAAATGGTGCGTTTTCTGACGTAAATGCAGGGGTGCCAATATTTTTGGCTAAGACTGTATTTACAATTTGTTTATTGCTTTTATTTTAATAATATGGCTTTACTTGTTTGTTTTCTAACGTCTTTATATCGCTGTCTCTAGTGATTATATCACAAAATGCTTTGGATAGTACACTCTGTGTGGCAAAGCTAGTGTACTATTTGAGTAAGTTTCATTTGTGTAGGACATACAGAGCCAGAATTCAAAGGGGGTACAATTCCGAGCAGGTACCCCCTGCATCTTTGTTTCAGATGATCATATCATAATTTTTTGATAATACACACAGTGGACCTGAAGTTGTTATCTGAGCAAGCTTCACAGATTCAGTTACAGTGCAGCTAGGTTTGAAAAGGGTGCATAAGGACCCAGTTTCTTAAAAACGAAACAGTAAGCTGCCCTAAACGTCCCCCCGCGCGCTGCACGTGATATGGCATTTATGAAATTCAGTAATTATTATCTATTTCGTTAAATGTGTGGGTTGCTAACAGCATTTCGTGATAGAATCAAAGGAGAGATTGGAAATGAATTTCCTGACAGGTAATTAGCCGTCATAAAGACAAAAATCTTTTTTGTTTAGGTATTTCAGATCACTGCACCAGAACATTCTCTTCATTGTGGAGAAAAATAAATTACTAAATATGTATAAGGAATAATATTTTGTAGATTTCTTTGGTTATTAAAGCCAATGACTTCCTTGTTCACAAACTAGTAAACTGATGACGAGACAAATAAATATAACCTACGTTCTCGTTCGGGGCTCATCGTCTATATATATGTCACGGTTTATCAGTTTTATATGGGTTAAACGCAGCCTTCGTGAAGTGAAACAGTGATAAAGGTCTTCCAAATGTGCAAATGCAATTTAATATTTCTGTTGCCCATTTAGATTGACGGAACTACGTCTTTTCCCCCTCGAAGAAAAGAGCGGTGCGCGCTTTTTTTTTTTTTTTTAGAAACAAACCACATCCTCATATAAAATATTTTAGAATTATTTAATCTAAATATAAATGATCAATAATTAATAATTGAAAATGTACAAATGTAAACTAATTCCAATAGAAAAAGTATCATCTATTGCAACACTATTACAGTCACTTGAACAGACATTATCTAAATTATATATATATATATATATATATATATATATATATATATACACACACACACACACACACACACACATAAGAAAGATCTTGCAGTCTCCCTGCAATTATGTTCACCAGAAGGACCAAGTTCTACACAAGCAGCTCCTGACTCCTGATTGGTTGAGAAATGAAAACCATGATGACCCTAACCGATATGACTGTGTAAAAAGAGATACATTTTTATGTAAAATGGTCTTGTTGGTTTTTGAGTCAAGTAGAAAAAATGTGCAAAATTGTGTTGGTTGCTGCAGTACTGACTGACTTTTGAGGGGCAAGTGCTCAAGGCCTTTGACAGATATTAAAGGGGTAACCAGTATCTGGAAAGGGAAGCACCATTAGATAGTTTTAGGCCAAAGGGACAGGTGTTCAGGCAAAATCCCCCCCCCCCCCCTCCCAATACATGCCTGAACTGCTGTATGCTATATGTGGTCCACTCTTAAAAATAAAAGAAAAAGAAACATACAGACCAGGTTAAACAACGAACTAGTGTTTATCATAAAGTAAAATTTGTATTTCAGTTAATGACCCATTGTGTCCTGCTGTAATGCAAAATCACACAAACAACAATGCCAGTAAACAGCTCTGCCATTTTTATTACAGTTTATCATTACGTATGATAATATGAACTCTTAGTTTTATAATGGCTTCAGTTCCAGCTCTAAGAAAGCACTTTGGACTGGCTAAAACAACAATCATATTCAGCAGTAAAAATTGTGAAATAATCAAGTGTACCTATATATTACTGCCTTAAAAGTGATATATATTAATACCTGACAGTGTTACATTATTGTTTTCAAAGTTACATATTACCACAAAAGTGTTACATATTACTTGGGGTTTGCTCATCTGTTGGTAAGTCCTGCAACTTAAGTGTATCTGGGACCTCCTGTGTTTGTCCTGAGGGCTTCGGCATCAGAGAGCTGTGCACCATGACCTCATGCAGATGTGCATTTTTGGAGAACATGTCATCATCATGGGAGCTGGAGGAATCGGTGAACACAGCCTGTGTCTTGTCCTCGCGGCGCACACAAGCAGCTAGGAAGGGCTCCAGATCGTGGTCACTGGACTCAGAGTCGTCCCGGATAACCTGCTCCTGGTAGGCCATGTCCGGCCCGCTGTCGAGAAAGCCGTCGGCTATCCTTATTCAGGCATTTCTTTAGGCATCCCCCATATTCACGTGCAATGCTGAGAAATTTAGCTCAAAACTGTGTGTTATCTGTATCTCATTTAAAGAAAGCTTCAGGAATAGATCATCCCTGCGTACCTGGTGCTGCTCTGGACACTGATGTCACTGTTAGTGTCACTGTCTCTTCCTGAGTATTCGGCTCCAGCAGCAGCCGGCTTCCTCCTCAAGGCCTCTCTAATCCTCAGCTTCAGCAGCTGCCTTGTGTCCTTCCCATGGCCATGATGCGACATTGACGTCAAGGCGGCTGTCCACAGGCCAACTTGCTGGTCATCGCTGGAGTCTCTGGGCGGGGAGGCGGGATACAAAGGGGCATCTGGATGCTCCGTGGTCAGTATTCATAGTGACCTTTCCCAATCACAGTGTGCAAAGATATTACCCTCACTCAGGGGTGCATTAATGCAAGGGCTTACCCAGGCTGAAGCCCAGGGGCCTCCGTTAAACAGGAGCCTCAACCAATCATGTCTGGAAAAAACATCTTAAACCTAGAGCTGCCACGTCCCATACTTTATGGGATTGTCCTGTATTGAATAATGTTCACACCAAAATCTAATGTAATCTGGACTGGACCATGTGACCAACCCCCCATTAACATTATTTTTTAAATCTTATGTTCGCTAACCACCCCCCCCCCCACTCCCTCAGGTAGACACCTTTCATTGTCTGCTAGGTCAACAATCATACCATCACAGGTAATAACAGAGCGCCATACTAACGTGCCGTTGCCCTCTCGCCAAGCTCATGCACAAGTCCCACCTTTCCAATCTCTCTGCCCAACAGGCCTCAGGATTCACTCTATCATGTAGATGCATCACTCACTGTGCTGGTTCATACTCACATCTCTTCCTCAGAGTCTTCCTGAAAGATCAAAGGCCCCATGCATACGGGGCAGATTTTGCCCAGGCTGTGATGGCACTGGAGACACAGCAGGCCTGTGTGGCATATGGGACACACGCCCCGGAGAGTCTAACACTCAGGTTCCACTTCATATAAATATCAGCCTCAGACTGATCAATTGTAAAATTTAGCCTAAACACAATGCATTTCTTCAATGCTAGAGAGAGAATACTAGGCACTTTTGGCAGAGCCTATAGTGTGCTCTGGTGATGACGTCATAGGTGGCAGGTTAGGGTTAGGGTTAGGGTTAGGGTCCAGGTGGGTTGTTCCTTTATGCTAATACGGCAGGTGTGGAATGATTGACAGGACCCCCTGCTTCCAAGTGATCACCATTTTTGGTATTCAGCTACTAGTTTATTTTAGGAGACCCTGATTCCCATGCGGTAACCATTTTTGGTTATCAGCTAATAGGAGTTTACTATAAGTCTGTCAGGTAGCCTCCTTATTGACAAAAATAACCCCCCATTTAGCTACTGGCCCTGGGTATACGAAGCATACAAACAACGATCCTTCATGGCGGAAAACACTTTGACCATATTTATTAATGCGACTTATTTGTAAATAGTATAAAACAGCCTATTTCATATTAGAACGAAAGACTTGGTCCCGGATTGTTTAATTACATTTAATAGCTGTAGGAACTAGTCAGCTGCATTAGCAGCACGCTTCTAAAACGTATTTTAAAACTTTAAAAGAATAAAACCTTAGTTATTTTAATAAAGACGCTTTTTCAGTAAATGACAGTTTGCACACATTCAAAAGCGAGCGCTCAAAGGCCGCTCTTTAACGTCATGTCAGCGACACACGCGTAATTCTGTCCGACAGACGATGCTCACTGACAAGATGTGTATCCCAGAACTCCAGCAACCCAAATCACGCCCCTTAACAAAAAACACCGGACACATATAGCATAAGTTTTAAAAAAAAATGTATGTCTATTTTTGTTATAGGGATATTTTAAATTTGTATGAATGCGCTACAAATCATTCAGGTAATAAGAATTAAGGAAGGATCTAAATACTTTAACACACACGTGTTCTGGCCTGTAATGCTGCGACAAAGAGCTGTAGCACTAATCAGAACAAAACCTGTCAATGTCCTGTCAATCATTCCACACCTGCCATGTCAAAATAAAGGAACAACCCACCTGAACCTGTCAATCACCCGGCACCTATGACATCATCACCAAAGCACACTAGGCTCTGGCCAAAGTGCCTAGTATTCTCTCTAATGCTAATTCATTAAAGATGAAAATGACAGTTTCACATTTATTACACTGTAACTCATACTGTTGACTTTTATCTCTAGGTAATGTCCATCAGTTATAATGATTAAAAAACTGACACTATATAAATGCCAATGAAGTGTGAACCACTGAGTTGACCACTGGGTTAAATTAATCATAGTAAAACTAGAGCACCTGTGCATTTCGGAGTAGAGCAGGCAAACATAGTTGGGTCATCCCTCATCTTTGCCTCTTTCCCACAGGCCATGCAGCAAACCATAGGGGCCCCAAAGCAGTGTGCTAAGAAGGACCCTCCAGGGATGCTGTGGACACACTGGGTGATTATGGGGCTGCCTTACAGCAAGACACACTGGGTGATTATGGGGCTGTCTTACAGCAGGACACACTGGGTGATTATGGGGCTGCCTTACAGCAGGACACACTGGGTCATTATGGGGCTGCCTTACAGCAGGACACACTGGGTCATTATGGGGCTGCCTTACAGCAGGACACACTGGGTGATTATGAGGCTCCAGTAGAACAGGGTTCTCCCTGACAATCAATGCTCCACGAATCATACTTTTTGTTTTAAACATTTATCCTTGGGTATACATTTCTGTTATATTGGTGAAATTTTCCATTGAAAACACTGTATACTGTGTACAGCATGGTTAAGAAAGACTAACGGACTGATTTAAGGTAGTAATGTAACACTGATTGAAAAGAAAGCAAAATGATTTCTCACTAGGCTGCTATTGACCTGATTAGGCTGCTGGGTTCTCCATCTGCCCTTCTCCTGGCCACAAACCTTAGCAGTACCTTCTGGAGGGATGCCCGTTGGCTGAGAATGTGGTTGTACAGGAACTGGACTCTCTCCTGCCCAAAAAGTGATGGATAGAAATGCGGTCAATCTTTTCAAGCAAGCTAATGATGTTTTCAACAATGTAATAACTACTTATAAGTACAGTCTATTTGTGATTTTGCCATGATGAACTATCATCCCATCCAGGGAGTATCCATGACTTGTGCCCTATGCTGTGTGGGATAGGCTCCCCCCCCCCCACTTCTTATTGGATAAAATATATGGCTGGATGGAAGGATGGATGGATGCATGCATCTACTATTTTCATAATTCCTTTTTTTTCACCATTGTGCATTGTGATTTACTTCTTAAAAATAAATAAAGCTTGTGTTACACTTGAAGGAACCACAGTAATCCACTGCGACTGACTTGTTTTGATAGATGCAACATTTGAAGAACTTACCCGTTCCCTTTTGGGGTAGTAGCTCGCACACACAAACCTCCGGAGACGCTTGATGTAGCTACCAGCAACCACAATGAAGAGCGAAAAGCCATAAAGGAGCCCTGTGCCGCAGAATACACCCACTTCAGCTTTGCTGCCAGGCAGACTTTGGATCTGCATCACACCTCCAGCTTTGAGGTTTGAATCCCAGCCCTAGATCTGGGTTTGTGGAGTTTGCATTTTCTCTGTGCATATTTAAGTTTCCTACACACACTCTGGTTCCTTTCTACAGTCCAAAACTGGTGAATTTACAGTGCTGTGTAAAAGTGTTATGCAGTCACAGAAAATATTTAAGGTTAGAGGAAGAACACCAGTTCAATTCCCAAACCTCCCTTCATGGGCACCTCAGCCCTTCCATGTATATGTTAAATTTCACCATCAGCACAAATAATTAATTCAATTAAATGACCCAATGAGATATTGATTAGCCATACACAGTATGCTAGTGCTTGGGGGGTATTGGATGGTTGCTGCAAATACTGGGGTGACTTTAGGAGAGGTTTTGAAATGGTTTAGCTAACACAATGCGACACGAAGGTCATTTACACATAATATTCTTTGATAGCTGAAGATTTCTGCACAGTGCAGTATGTCTCTAGATTGTCCTCAGTGTCTCATCCAAAATGTCCCCTGATTTGCACCCTTTGCTTTCTGGGTTAGTCTCACCACACCCATGTATTGGCTAAGTGGTTACAGAAGATGGACATACATTAGCGGCGCAAAACCTGACCTAAAAAAAAAGAGTCGCTACACTTTCTGTCCACTAGATGTCAGTGCTACCCAAACAGAACTACTGGCTAATGACCTGAACTAGCTAAAAAGCAACAACTTCACGTGGCCCTACCTATAAACATGTACCCATAGTAGTTTGTCTCTGATGGCGCTATCAGGCATTTCTTGCTAAGGACGGTGATGTTGCCTTTCTGCAGAACGTCAAATGCCGCCACAATATCCTTGAACATATCTGAGGCATAGCTTGATCCATTCATGTTCACCGCCACCATGACAGGAGCTGTAAGTTAGCAGGATAGGTAATATACCGTGTCAGTCACATGTTCTCAAAATTAATAAACCATTGATATTTCTTCCGTTCATGATATTTCACGACATTTTTTATTGCTAGCATCATTTTTTTTTTAAATGATCCCCCTGGGGTCAATAAAATATCTTATTTGATGTGGAATGACTATATATTTAAATCAAGTCATTTTATTGTAATTTCACATACATGAAACAAAACTATGATTCTTCAGAACATCGGGTGTCTAGAACAAAGAACAACAGAGTAATAAACACTGAACAATAAATAACAGGGGGGGGGGGATTAAAAAAATAAAACAATACACAAAAAAATCATTGTGCAATAGTACAAGTAAACAGTGCATACAGACACTAGACTGTGCAAATAAAAAAGTGTGCTGAGGTGTATTACTGAAGTGCACGGTTATACAGCTGTGATGTGGTACTTTGCAATGCGGGAATTCTTTAAATTACTGCCAACTTGACCCAAGTATAGATTATTATTACAGTCAGCCCCCCATATCAAAAATACTTGGAGCACATTGAGTTTTACATTGAATCCACACAAATGAAGTGATGTGTAGTTTTGTGTGTGTGTGTGTGTGTGTGTGTGTGTGTGTGTGTGTGTCTAAGAGACAAACGGAGACAGAGACAGAGAGAGGATGAATTTAAATTTCCTATATTTATATTTTCTATATTTATTACGACGGTTGTGTCTGTACTGACTTTTTTCGTCATTATTCCCTAAACAAAACAGTACAAGAACTATTTGCATCGCATTTACATTGTATTATAAATGATCTAGTGATGATTTAAAGTAAACAGGAGGATATGCGCAGGTTATATGCAAATACTGTGCCATTGTATATAAGGGACTTCAGCATCCGTGAATTTTGGTATCCGTGGGGGATCCTGGAACCAATTCCCTGTGGATACTGAGGGCAGACTGTACTATAAAAGCAACATACAAATTCACGATGGGTCCCAGCCAAAGAGTGAAGCCCCTATACTGCCTCACCCTTGACAAAGATTTCGCGCTGAGCCAACTGGTACACGGTATCAAACATCCAAAAGACCACCAGGTCCAGAGCCACCAGTAGACCTCCGACAGCCATATGCCTAAGAACGGACATGGTGTTGAGCGCTGTGGCACGTCTCTCTTCTTCTGTGAGATACAGGGAACCTGAGAGCACAGGTACACTTCAATAAATGCTGCCCAACTTAAGCATCTTTACTATTTCTTCGTTCATTCTCTGGCTCCAATCATCACACATGGTTTAGTCTATATTAATTCCTCTTACAGGAAGCATATCCAGGCAGATCCTGGCTTCCTCTCAGGCACTCATTCATCCTGTTTGTCCTGCTTTATGTTCACTCACAAGGTCTGATGTAGATGAGGGCCTCTCTCCGGGTCAATGGTAGTAACGAGCTCCTGCCGTCTTCGGACCTCCTGAGGTCCATCGTCACAAATTTCTCCGTGATATAGACGTTATCGAAGTCATCCTGGTGAAGGTACTTCCTTTTATACAAGACAGCTCTTCCAGGAAACCGAAAGCAAAGAATTAAGTCTCGTATGGATTTCCTGACACACCATGGTGCTTGAATGATGCCATTAAGGTCGATCTCTTGAAACACTCACTGAAAGCACGTGAGCCCCAGGAAGACGAGCCCCATGTATGCAAACAGATTCATGTTGTTCCGCCAGAAGGAAACCTCAACAGTAACTTCTTCCATGATCTCCTGAGACACCTGCTGCGCCGAGCGGCTGCTGTTCACGTGCATGTCAAGGTGCGCAGAGACGGAGATTTCGAACTCAAACTGCCGCTTCATTTTCTCGAGGGCTGCCACAGTGGCTTAGATGAGAGTTGACAGTGTATGAAATAATGTGCCAGATTACAAGCGGTACGATCCAGACAAAACGCAAGTCAAAGAACAAAAATGAAAAACAACATGCGTTGACATTTTCTTAGGGTGTTTAGGGTGGGTATAGTGCTGTGCTATATTAAATTATAATGCAATTAAAGAGAATGGAAAATATACCATTAAATCAGCAGCTTGGACATTCCAAACACAACTTTCCTTGTTTTTATGGCTGTATTTAAAAAACATTTAAAAAACATTCAGAGAACTCACGATCAGCCAGCTTGGTCTTCATTTGGGTCATAACATATGTGGGGACAACACAAAACACCAGGGTAACTGCAAGGAAGCACAGGCGCAGATCACTAATGCTGGAGTTCGGCCATACATTTAGTCGAGTTATTATATAATGTGGCATTATTGCATTGTAACATGGTATAACTGGTATATGTTTATTCTTTTAAGTTTGCAGGGGACAAACAAGCACAATAAATAACTGAAACCCTGTGTAATAACAGCATGGACTTGGGAGGCATGGCCTGTTTCACTGATAATGCAGATGCGTGGGGAGATAAAGGATGACTGACCTTTTGTGAGGTTGCACAGATCCTGCATGCCAGACACTACGTCACAGATGCCGGATGCTGCGTCCAGAAGTTCAGTGCAGTTTCTCTGAGCATCATTAAAGGCCTTCACGCACTTCCTATAGGGTGAGCCCAGCTTGTCCTCACACACGTCGCCGATTCTGACCAGGAAGTATAGGACGTTCCTCAGCATACGAGCTAAGGGTGTGCAGTAGAGGTTAGGATGAGAGTGATGTGCGTGCGTTTGAGGACGTGGGAGTTACTGTTGTGTAAATACACATGGCTATGACTAGCAGTTAGCTATTCTCCTACAGAGACTTCTAGTTAGTCATGTTTATTGCACAATGCAACTGCATCAAGTTCTTGTGGCAATATCAATGCTGCAATCAAACAAAGCATAAAAATTCCCCTGCTGGACCACAGGAAGGGCTTGGATGTCTCTAAGCGTCACGCCTCGATACCCGACTCACTCACCAATGTGGCTGACGGAGTCTGTCAAGGAGCTTATTAAGCTCTGCACCCTCCCCGCCACGGCATAGGCGTTCTTCGTAATCTGCTTTATCTTACCCAGCACGGCTGCGATGGAATCAAATACAGTGAGGTCAGCTGTTCCCCAGGAACTGGGAACCCTGGCTGGCTTGCACGTAGACGTGTCATCTGATCACTCACACAAGCAAGTTAACGGTACCTCCTGTCACATTTGTTCATTATGGATCCTTTGGCTTTGTACAAAGACTAAAAAGATAATAGCTGCATATTTGGGATAGGTAATACTGGAATCCCACTAACTGGATTCTTTTATCCTCTTTTGTCTAATCAAGACTATTCACTGTCTCTATTACTCTACTCCTCACTTAAATCATATAAACATTCTCTGTGCTGCAGGTGATGAGATTATTACAGTATGTATTTTCTTCAAAAAATCTTTTATCTATCACAAATAACACAGAAAACTGACAAATTAAGCCTTTAACATTGAACCAGACAGTCTGATTAATCACAGATTAGTGTTTTGCACTAGTAACATAGTGACTCAGTCTTTTCTGTAACAAACCCACGACTGTGTGCTGGGATGGTCACGCCTGGAGCGGCCACTCACGCCGCAGCGGTGCCGAAGCCCGCTCCACCAGCTGCCTGCTCTGGTTCTTTGCCAGTTCAATCCCACAGGCCACGCTTCGCGCTGCACGGTTAAAATTCTCCAGCGTGTTGGCCAGGGGTCCCCGGGTCACCATGGAGAAGATCAGGAACAGAAGCAAGTTCTTCCCATGGGCTAGAAGAAAGCGTGGGAATGCAGATTAGAGAAACCGCACTTATAATACGCTCCGGTTACTTTCAACTGCATACTTTACTTGTGGAAAAAATACAGAATAACCTAAACAGCCATTACAAAATATAATTCACTCATGGTCTGAATTACAAATAATCCAGAAGTGTATGACTAATCACATGTCACTAAAAAAACGAATGGATACAAGTGTGCAATGTGCATTTTAATTGCAGTTTCCAGCTCACACGCATCACGAAATCTTACGGCAAATTTATATTATTTCATTATAAACCTAAAATTAGCTACATCAAAAGCTTTTGGGTAGTTTGCAAACCCTACAGAGTGTTTACAAGTAATAAAACTGTTATATGCATGTAAATTCGTCCTGTCTGGAATTGAAAATCTCACTCCAGCCAGCTGATCGAAGTTGGCAACCCTGATTTTAAGGGTTTTCCTTGGGCTCTCATCTGCAACGGGACACTCACAACAACACAGCGCGGGCAGCACAAGCCACACGACGACGCGTGCACGGACGAAGAGGCCCATGCCGAAGGCGCAGAGGGCGGCGATGGTTACTGTACTGCACAGGCAGAACCAGAACCCGTAATGTTGCAGGAAAAACGTGATACATCCGTATACCGAAGCCAGAAACAAGCCGAACATAAACGCGGCCAAACTTCGTACACACTGCCTCAGGGGCGACTTGGCTGCTCGGCGGCGTTTCCGCGGCCACCGCGCCGCATAAGTGCGGCTGTCTGACGAGTCGGAGTCGGAGTCGGTCTCCATCTCCCCAATTCATCCAGCTTTTAGACTAACGGGCTATCACCACTGCAGAATCACGCTTTGGATGATTTATTACTGATTAAATGCACGACTGCTTATTATTAATAAAAACTGACACGCGTCCACGTTGATTTTACCAGCTGTACCCAAATGTGACAAATGTGATCGGAACGTTTATTTTGAATTTTTAAAATTTGAAGATCGCGTGTTGCACTTTCCAGTACGTCTTGTTACCTGGCAACTTGTATATAATATAACTGCCTCTTTTAGAAATGCTACTAGTTCGATCGTTAGAGCTCCTTGTCTATCTTCTAAAAATAATCTTTGTTTTTCGTAAAGCAGAACGTCAGTTCATGCAACTTAATATAGTATATCAGAACTGACTAGCAGAGGACAGTATAATAGTGACTCACGGTCGTTACGTCGGCAAAGCATTACATTTAAAAACGATTAATAACTAAGCAACAGTAAATTATGACTGAGGCAGATGGGCTCAACCGCCGAAAAACACCACATACGAGTAAGTGCATCCACCCATCCTCCAACCGCTAAGAAACACACTCGTAGTAAATCAAGATTTTACGTTTCATATAGAATAGTATTTTAGTACTACTTGGATATTATACTACAGATTACTATGTAGTAGAGATAGAGTATTATAATGCTAAGGAATACCATCCAAGGCCCTCAATGAGTCTAACTTTGGTCCCCACAGAGTTGGAGGTGCTCAGTGAGCGGACCCTCCCTGTTTCTGCACACAGGTTCCTCTTCGGTCATCCTGATCAGTTCCCTGTCGCCCGGTTTGTTGCTGGAGTGGCCTTTGGGGTTTTTGGTGGGCTGGGTAAGACAGAAATGCAGTCAAGAAGACTTTAAATTACATTGTGTCTCACACACACACATACACACACAGATCTGTACTCATATGTTTGTGGGGACTGTCCATTAATTTCAATTTTCAACCCTAATTCCAACAATGATCCCCGCAACATCAAAATAACAGGTTTTTATCACATTGTGGGGACATTTGGTCCTCACAATGTAATGTATACCTAGACCACACACACACACACACACACACACACACACACTGTAGTGTAATTCTTGATATTGTTTGTAGGATTATTCATCGGGCTAACACACAACATTCCCATGTCCGCTTTGTACAGATGGATTTCAGGATACGTTTTCGTGGGTAAGCTTATTTCCGCAGTGTTCACTGGAACAGAAATGTGTAAAATATGACAGTAAAATGAAAGATCTCCTTCTCACTGATTGTCACTGCTGTTATATGCTTTCGTCTGTGGATATTTCAGGTCTCTGTATTATTGGTGCGGTAATCTCCTCTTATTTTCGGTGTTCGGTCCTCCTGATGCTTCCCTGCATGCTGAGCTCCCATGGGAGGACCTACATCATGCTCTTAGTCCTGTACGCTGTCTATCAAGGTATACTGCTGGCAGACCGTATCAGGCATACACCTGAGTCCCGGTCTTTCATTTCTTCTTGTCATTCGACTAGAAATCATAAAAGTCTTTATTCTTGAAGGTCCTGTTGCCAACATCCATCGTAATGTCCAGGATGTGGCTTTCTCTATGGGATGCAACATTGACCTTCAGGTGGAGCACAGCAAAGTCATGTGGAAGGCTCTGCTTGATCCTCTCGTGAACGTGGTGCAGAACATTGTGGTTGGTACTTAGACCCGGTCCTGCTTGCTCTGTGGAGGCTCTATCATTTTGTAGCTTTAGTAGAAGTACTGAAGTCCAACTTGCTGTTGCAGGATCACAAAGATGTGCTTCAAGATGAAGCTGAGAACGTGAGCAGGATGTTCCAGAACATCACAGAGGAGATAATGGGGGAGTACGGTTATGACACCAAGGATCAGAAGCTTCCAGGGACAGGGAACAGCACGCAGGAACAGTTTTTTGCCAAGACATTGATGCGCTGTGACTGTGAGCATCAAGTTTAGCTGGGCGCTTCAGCAAAACAAATTAAGTAGCTAATTTGTGTAGTCATTTAAAAAAATCCCTTTAAGATCAGTATGGTGCCTTAACTGTAATGTCAGGTACTAAAGGACCATAGAACAATGTCATGAAATAAATACCCTAAACCAGGTCCTCAGGAACCTGCAGACTGTCTGTGTTTTTGCTCCCTCTCTGCTCTCTACCAAAAATGTGGACTTTCTGGCAGGTAGCTGGGAGGGAGCAAAAATGTGGACCATCTATGGGTCTCAGAGGACCGGGTTGGGAACCACTGCCATAAATCTGATATTTGGTAATAAACCGTCGTTCTATTAATTGTGTTAAATGTTAGCCTGCTTGTAAGAATGTTGTGAGAAATTCCTGTTGTAGGAGATGTCTGACTCGAAAGGCTCCTCGTCACATGCATGTGCTTGTGTCAGATGTGGTACAGAATGGGATAATTCAGTGCCGGAACTGGTTCAATTCCACGTGGCAGAAGTGCATGAGGGACGTCCAAGTCCCTGTAATCAACCTCATCCTGTGTGTGCCCCTGCAGCTCGACTTCTTATGCGACGTCATGAAAGGTAGCAGCTTAAAAGGGTCACTCATTTAGTTGGTAAAAACGATACTTCACTACATATCCTCCATTTACAAAGGTGAAGTATGTCTTTGATTGAACCTGGGTGGAAGAATCTTGTAAATTTTACATCTGGTTGATGTGGGTGTTGTGTGGCTCAGTGGGGCTAAGCCTCCGTGTCTGTGATCCGAAGGTTGTTGGTTTGAGCCTGGCCTCGGCAGAACAGCCACGTGTACATAGGAGCAAGGTCCTTAACTGCCCGCTCCATAGGTACCATAGGGGGTTAATCCTTCCCCCCAAGCTTGCTCTCACTTGCATGTGTGTCTCAGGGGAGCAGGTGAAGAGGATTTTACCCCCTGGAGTAATATGAAAAATGTCTCTTGAGGTCACAAGTTTGTGTTAAAGTGTGGGATTCTATCCTTTCAGTTATGATTCCGTGGTGCAGACAGGAAATTCCAGTGGATGTGAATTTTGGGGATGTGTATGACAAGTTAAATGACTGCATTAACAGACTGCGAGGTGATTTCGGCGCCAGTGTGGTCTACAAGGTAGAATTTGTTTCTTCAGGCACACCTTGTATTCTTATTTCTGTGACTCTTCTGTGGGTTTTGCTATATTTTGCTCTACAAATCAGTAGAAACTCTGCACCACCGATAGTAATACTGTTGAACCCCATTGTACTGTAAATACATGCCGCCAATGGATTAAAAAATCAATATGTCAAAGCTTCATTCCAGAAAAGAATTAAAATATTAACTACACAGGGAAGATGCGAAACTGAATGCTGCTGTATATCCTAGTATCTGACAAGTGATGCTATTCTCTTTGTAGAGGACTGAGCAGGAATCAATCCTGTCACAGGAAGAATTTGTGGAGAAGCTAAGTACAGAATTTGACAAGAAAATGGTTGTTTTAGAGCAGATTCTGGATGTCTTCCATGGCCTTCTCTCCTGTTCCTTCATATTCATCTTTATCTCGTAAGCCTGTGTTTCCTACCTAACATTTTCACAGTGGTGCTTTTAAGTTACAATGGTGTTAAATGGGTGCTATCATTTATTGATCTGATGTTTTCTCTGTAAGACTGAAATAATTGTTTCTTTATAGCCTGAAATGTTTTTGCCAGGTATTGACCTTGAAACAAACGGAATGTGATAAGACAATTAGTTGAAACGTAATTTGTGCTTTGTGCATTGGCTTTCTAGGTTTGAAATAAGCAGGACTAATCGGCTACTAATGAATGGCTTATCTGTTTTATATATCTTTGTAGGGCATTTAGCTACGCCAGGCAGTATAACCGTGACATTTGCTTTGACAATATGTACATCACCACTTACTTCAGACAAATCGATGCACGCAGGAGGAAGGCAGTAAGGCACATTGAATAAGGAAGTGTCATTTTCTGTTTAGCGTTTACACAAAAGGAAACTAAAGAAAAAACAGATTTTTCTCCTCAAACTTTTCAGGGCAAGCGATACCTCTTGCCATTGAAGAAGGCTGAACAGCCCTATCTTATCAATCCATGGAGACTCTGCATACATTCGTGTGAGCTCAAGTGTTTGGTATGCTTTTCTTTTTTCTTTTTCTTTGTACAGATTCATACATAGACTCCTGGGCAAAAATAAAATGGACCAAAACCAAAACTGTAAAAACATTAAGCTTTCAATGGTCTCTCAACAAGTAGCCGGAAGATATTTTGGAAAATTTTGAACCCCCAGACATGTGTTGGTTTGACTCTCATATGATTTTACCTTTGCGTACAAGAACATTGTGTAAGTGAATTTCCCTTTTTCGAGCTTTTCTGTTGCGACGAGCAGAGACGACCCAAAGGTGGCACAGGTTTTGGGAGTGCATTTTTTTTTAGTTGTCGCTAATTATCTTTTGCAATTTTGGGTTTGACCCTTCTTTTGCCTGGGAGCGTATCCTCTTTCGGTTTTCCTCAAATGCACTCCACTTAAAAATGCTTTCCCGAATGAGTGTGTACTGGTAATATTGTAAGACATAATGAGTTTTTGATCCCATTTTGAAAACATTTTTTCTTCCACAGGTTCTAGGTTTGTTGCAGGTTCTCTCTTTAGGCACCTGTATAGGATTACTGCTGGTCACCGACTGGGTCCTGTATCGCATTTTTGACATTGTCCGCAAGTACACCCTCACAGAGTTCTCCATCCACAGTGAGTAAGATTGATAGTGACTCACGAATATCGCAAACAACTAGTCACTCACTCAGATGGGCTCGCGGTCACATTCCAGTCGCAATTAGTCACGTCGTGATCATTAACACTTTTTAAAAATCACAGCAAGGATGCACGTCAGATTCATCTAACACTGTTATTTATTCCTGATTTCCCCTCTGATTTGTAATGTACCATCTCATCTTATATACGGGAGCAGATTAATTAAAGCACAGGATGAACTTCCAGAACTGTACAGCGCAATAGCAATCATTTTGTAGCTTTGAACTACAGTGATTGTATCATAAAAATGTGGAGACATTCAGATGATCTCCCTGACATCACAGGCAGCCATCATATGGAATTCGGCATTGGAGGACAGTCCATGCTCGCAGAACTCTTACGGAAAACCTTTCATGCTTTCAACACCTCTTCAAATTTGGAGGTGAAGTCCAGCAACAAACGTAAGAATCATTTCCCAAATAGTCTCACAAGCTACACAAACTGTACCTAAGTTAGTCAGAAAGTAAGTTAAATTGAATCAACTTTAGGAAAATATACTTTGTTTTTATGTGTCCTGTATTGCAACTAGAAAAAGTTAGACCAAAGGAAGCTGATTTAAAGGATATTCAAAATAGACCTTTTATAGTGCCATAAAATACTAGATTTACTGTTAGAATGCCAGAATACTTGATTTACTGTAGAAGGTCCATTTGTTATTCATGTTTGTATAATTAAACACTGTTGTAACTCATAGAGCAACCAAGATGGACTGTAAGGTCAATGTTACATTTATCTAAAGTCAAATCTGTACGTCAAATCTTTTAGGAGAGTTGACGTTTAATTCAGCATGTGCTTCACAAATTTAAAAATGATTACAATGTCGTAAAAGACATTGGCCTGAGTTATTAATTAGTTTGACTTGTCAGTGACCTATGTCCACCTAATGCCTTTGCCTGGCTTTGGTATTCAGCGAATCAGAACTTTGTTCATGACTGAAGGGCCGCTCATGCTTGTCCTCTGTCCAAACTGCATTTTTCATGATGTCATGATAGTCACAGGAGGCATTTGCATATGTTTTGAAGCAACCTCTCCCAAATGACAATTCTTTCTTGTGACAACTGGAAATGTGTTTTCTTAGACGCTCCTTTTTCAACTCCTGGTTTAACCTGGCCATTTAGAGTATGCGGTCTAATGGAGTGGCACGTGTGAATCAAATTATGTCAGGATTGTAGGGTTTGTCACTCTAGAGTAAACCTCTGGTTGTCTGTACTAGGTCTGGCACCATGTTTCCAAACCCAATCATTGGGGACCCCCAGACAATCCGCTGTGTGGCAGGGAGCTGGGAAGCATCTGGGGATCCCCAAGGACTGGGATGGGCAACACCGCGGTACCATATGATTAGTGGTTTCCACCACCCTTGCAGACTGCCTGCCCAACCCCAGTGCTTTGAGCTGGGAGGAGTATCTGTGGATCTTCTCGCCCCTCTTGGTGATGGCCGCCATGTCCTGTTTGCAGATCTACAGCAATCGCTTACGCCGGATCATCGCCGCGTTCTACTTTCCAAAGGTGAGGAAGTTACACTCTATGGACAAAAGTATCCGGACACACCTCGTAATCATTGAATTCAGAGCCATTGCCACAGGTGTATAAAATCAAGCACCAAGCCATGCAGTCAGGTTTAGAAACATTTGTGAAAGAATGGGTCATTCAGAAGAGCTCACTGAATTCAAGTCATAGCATGCCAACATTGCAATATCAATATGTCAGTCTGTGATATTTCTTCCCTGCTGGATGAATGGGCAAAAATTCCCACAGACACACTCCAAGATCTTGTGGACAGCCTTCCCAGAAGAGTGGCAGCTGTTATAGCTGCAAAGAGGGGACCAGCTCCATATTGATGCCTATGGGTTTAGAATGGGATGCCATTAAAGTTGCCGTAGGTGTAATGGCAAAGTGTCCCAATACTTTTATCCATGTAATGTATTCCCACATCCGCCCTTCCCATTCCCAGCAGCTTCAGACACTGTGGTTAAGGCGTCTCTGTGCAGATCACATCATACTTAGCTGTGGTACCGGTGGTTGGGGTTATGTACCTTTTACCTTTCTCAGTACATACAGCAGTTGTAATATGGTGAGCAGGACAACAGAAAGACAAGTAAATTATAGCAGTTACTGCTGGCGGACACCAGCCTTGAAAGAGCCTTACATATGGGCAGTGTTCCCATGTGTAGGAGAACAGCATCTATACTTTACTTGTGAGGGATCTTTTTGCCTCTGTTACCCCTTGCTTGGATGAATGTTGGGGCTGTTGAATATTAGGATTCTTTTTGCAAAGTCAACCAGAGCGACTTAGCCGGGTTTTGACTTCTTGCCGTAGGCTAGAAAAGCTGCAATATTGAAGGATCTTTTCCATCATAAAAGGCTTAAAAAAAATTTAAATGCAATGAAAATAAATGTTTTCAATTATTTCAAAATCTTTCAAATATATTTGAAGAAACATCGGTTGTGTCACATGCCCTTTAGAAAGGATATTAAATCAAAATCAAATCTAGACTGACTATAATAACACACTAGTGCCAACATACACATTTGTATATTGTTTCATCACATAGTGAATTATCTGAGGTGACAATGTGGGTGTTACTGTCTTCATAGAGCATGTGTGTGTGTTTAAAAGAGCTTTATAAAACCAGAGGTAATGAGAGTTGTGGGCGAATAAAATATGTGCAGTAAAATGCAGGCAAATGCAGGGGAGTGTTTGGGAGAGGAGAGGCGCACTGATGCGAGCATGAAGGACCCTTTGATGCCAAACACACACCTCATTGTCTGCCCGCTGTCCCCATCTATCTTTATTGTCATTTAAAGCCTGCACTGCACCTCCCCGTTTCTCTCCTTGCTAGCGGGAGAAGAAGCGGACCCTGTTCCTGTACAACCTGCAGATTCAGAGGCGCATTTCGTACGTCGACACTCAGCGCATCCGGCTCATGAGACGAGGGCGACCGCGTCGGACAGTGAGGCTCCATCAAACATCCCCCCTGACGGCATTTATCAGATTCCAGCTGGCATATCTCATAAGCCTTAGCATAATATTATATTCCGCATAGATCCATGCCAGTGTAGTGTCCTGTGTCTCATGCCCCATATTATGTTGTTTTGTGGTGCCCTTTAAAACATGCCATGGCTACAGTGTGACTTCATTTTGTAATGCAACACCATGTACTTACCTTGCTGCTTGCTGGCCTAGATAGTATATTTATAGAGCAGAATAGCGGTGCTTTGTTGATCCTCATGGGAAAATTGCCTTATTGCCTGTTCCTTGTTCTCAATGAGAGACACAGACACACATACAGGTGTGAGGAAGTTTGGGAGTCGCAGAGCAGGGTCAGCCCGTGTACAGTAGGGGGTTAGGGGCCTAACGGTAGCATCAGTCTCCAGTCCTGGGATTTGACCTGACGACCTTCCGATCACAGGCGGAGGACAAACCTGCTGAGCCGCACACCTCCCCCCAAAATCTCACTTTAACTGCATTATCTATCATCTCAGCAGCCCACTGCAGTGTACAGCTTATCCCTTATTCCAGCTACGTAGGTGGATATCTGCTGCCTGAATGCACCTCATGCCGTCTTTCAGTCCCCTGGTATTTATTACAAGGTTTAACTTTAGCAGCTTCTTAATGGTCAAACAGAAAAGGCCAAATTAGCTCCCAGTCATCATAGCATCTCCGTCCCCTGGCAGTGCTGTTTAATACCAGCACATGGCATACAAGCACAAACCCTGAACCTCAGACTGTTGTATGAGCTGCATGATCTTCAGAGGTGGATAGTTCAAGTCCAGAAAGTAAAAATCCAGACTAATATTTTGTTTCAACCAACTAGTTCAGTATAGTGTCACAGTCACAGAGGACTCAACTAGTTAAAACAAAATCTTGGATTTTTATTTCATTTCTGGCATAGCATCCTCCTCTGATGGTCTTTTAATAGGTGGTGCCTTACCGCCATGTGGTTAGTATGTGTTACATCTGTCCTATAATTTAAAAACGTAATACTGTATAATCAAAATAATGAAGATCACTAGCCATTAGACTTTGCACCCAATCTTCGGAATTTTGAGTGCATTGCATTGTTTACGAAACAATGGTATCAATTATCTTAGTAGTTTTAAGCCTTTGCCTTGTATAAAACAAGTAATTTAAGGAATAACGGGTCCCATAGCTAGCCCAGGATAAAGGGTGGATGGATGGATAGATGGATGCATGGATGAGTTAAGCATTGTCAGGCACTCCTCCTCTGCCTCCCATTACAGCTCCTCCTTGTCCTCTCCCCTTCACCAGGTCTTCTCGGCGCTGCTCTTCATGCTCGAGAAGTTACCTCTGAAGCTCCAGCGGTGCTGCGTCTGTGGGGGTCGTCAGGGCAGGAGCCAGGCGGTGCGCTGTCCCGAGGAGGTCTGCGAGGCAGTCTACTGCCCCCAGTGCTGGAGGGACCTCGGCCGTCGCTGCTTCGCCTGCATCCCATACACGCACTTTGGGCCCGAGATGCCGTACGACAGCCATACTTATGCTGAATAAGAAAACACAAGCTAGACTGACCACGTGTGTACAGACAGACACATGATCGTGCCCCAGAAAAGACATACAGATGAACTGAATAGTGAATCCACATGGCCCAGCAGGTCGACCTAAAACTCCAGTTACATTTAGAAACAGAAACAGGGATATGAACAGTGACGGTAAATCATAAGACACATGAAAGATTATTTGACAAACGCAGAGATAATCCAGCCTTCAGGGTTGTCACACATGCAAGCAAAGAGATTTGCTAAAAGACAGAATATACTGCATGTAGCAGTTACCATGAGATGTGTGTTGTGCTTTTTTAAATGCATATCCACAGTTCTTAATTACATTTGTAGGATCCTGTCTGATTAATAATTCATTCTATGCTGTTACTGGATGTGTACTGCAAGCATTTTTTCCCTTTTAATTACCTCATAGTCAGTACAGTACAGTTATTATGACACTGAATGAATTATAAATGTAGGAAGCAATATTTACAAAAAACATTAAAAGTATTTCATATCAAACGCGCAACAAAATTACATTATTGTAATGAGCTATTTAATATCGAGTTTATATTTCAAAATGGAGAACTCAACAAAACAATTCTACAGTTGTGAAACTTGTGTATCACTTTTAGTAGTCCCTAAATAATCTGACATTATTTACTTTAAGGAACATAAATTCATCTTTGTTTGTAGTAAGAAAAATCTCACAGCCATAATGCTTTTATAAAATACCGCTACATTTGTATTAATGCAGGATTATACTGCACATCACATTACAGTAGATTGTGATAATGTAACGTGCACTAAAAACACCTCGGGAACGCAAGTGTTAAAAGCTCAGAGGAAATCCCGCCTAGCCGGAGTCGGCGGTGAGAAATCGGATTACACCATCGCAGGGACCCGAGGGCTGCAGGGCTCGGGAGCTTGGCTGCGGATTGAGACACGAGGTTAAGGTGCAGGTTTCCTGCCGAGACAGCCGCAGCGTTACCGCCAGAAAGAAAACGAGAACGAAAAAGCAGGTGCTTCAGGAGCCGTGATCGCTGGCGGACGCCGGGAGGACATGACAGTTACTCCGCAACATCGGCCGAGTTGCTCCGTTTCGGTTTTGACACACCAGCTTAGGTTGTGATCGCAGAAAGGCAGGTGGACGTAAAACACGCTTACTCCCGGCGATATTTCGGAGGTCAAGCGTTTTTCAGGTGATATATGTATTTTAGGGCTCGGTTGATTTAACAAAATGTGACACTTGGAACGTAGGACGTTTACGAGGATGCGTGCACTTTGAGGCGATGTGAGGAGCCTCTTCGCATGCATATGGGAACTAAACATCGTCAGAAAAGCCTGGCTGAGAAACAAGATTTTTGCATCTTTCTTTGAACACAGTGATTTCGTATTTACTATGGCGACTAAGACCAGGAAGATGCGCTGCTGTCGCTGCTCGGGACGTGTAACTCCTGCACTGTATTCCCTTCTTTTACTTGAAATTATTCTTACGGTCTTAGTTAGAGGTACCACTTCTCAAACGACAAAGTCAGCTAGTGACGACGGGTTTGCACTACTGCGAAATCGTGATGGAGGATTGTCTTTGTCCGGAGGAAGTCTGCAAAAGGAGAGAAGAAACGCGGGTGGGGAAGATTTTCATTCAGAAAGTGTCCGTCCTAGGACGTCCCATACAAGTAGGTATAATAAAGTGCAAGTGACAAGTGTAGCGAAAGCCTTGACATCTGACGCATTTATTTAAAAGTGGAAGCAAAAGGCAAAGTATTATCAATATTAACTTTATATTGAATTCGCTATTTATATTTCTCAAATTATGCCCATGGAGCCCCGCCCTCCTGTCATGCTTTCAGGAACATTTTGATTACGCTTCAATAGAAACAAATAAATGCATCAATGACTTAAATTACATAAATAACGTTAATAAACACCCAGCACTCATTTATTTGAATTCCGTGCACAGAAGCTTAGATTGTTCTAAAATGAAGAGTGATTACATAATGTACATAATTAAGACATGCGTCTTTATTTCTTTTATTTGGAACTGATTACCTACTGATTTTGTGAGTTCCAGTATTCGTTCTTTAAATGTGATTTATCATGTGTTTATGTTGAAAACCTTTCGGAATTGCTTGTCAGTGTTATGCCCCTGGGCCATCTTGTCACTAAGTTTTTGGAAACAAGGACTTGGCTTATTTGTGCCTACCTAGATGGCAGGCGCCCAGAAGTGAGGGAGCCGTCCTGCCTTTAAATGCTTTGAAAGGCAAGGACAGACAAGTAAGGGCAAAGACTCTCAGCCAGAGAGGGCATTTTACAGAGGACTAAGGAGTCAAACCGTAAAGCTGACTGTAGCACCTTCTGTTTTAATATCCCTGATGACGGAATGCTGCACGCAATGAGTATAAAGAAGCTTCTAAGCATTTCAATGCAAAATGAAGGGAGATTGTGTTTGCATGTCAAAGGACACATGTGAGAGCTGTCAGGATAACATAATACCATAATGTAGACAGCCAGCTGTTTCTTGATGAGTGTGTGGATAACTGAATGGAATCCAGTGACACCTTTCTTGAAGGGAAAAGACTTTTTCTCCATGACTGCATTTGTATTTATCCCGTAATTCTGCATCCTTGGCTCATGTTTCTGCTACAGTGTATTCTCCTGATCCATCTTTGTGTAGGCTAAGCCCACCATATTTAGTCTGATTGGAATAATTTCTTTGGGAACTTTGTTAAACGCTGGTTTTGGTCTTAGCAGCCTTGTTATTCTTACATTACTGGAGGTTTTGTGGTCTCTTCTTGGTTGCCATGGTTATAAGTTTTTGAGGAAGGCCCTATTGGAAGCTCTTACCTCAGCAGTTTTCTTAGTCTCAGCAGCATGACAAATATTCCCATTATTAGTAAAAATAAAGCAATTTCTGAAAGCTTCTAATGTTCTGAATTCAGCCCAATGAAGTTTGTGTCTGTGTGTCTGTGTAAGACTGATATTTTCAATTTTTCACTTTCATTGTAGACATCTTTTGGATGCTACTTTTCAGTCCATCAGAGTCAGATAGATGAAAAGTGTTTTTGTTAAACGATTGAACAAGACGGTTCAAGAAGCAACACCTTCTCTGTATGCCAGTACATACAACTTTGAGAAATGGAACACCATTGCACTTAATGTGTCTTCATAGTGCACACAATAGTGTACAATGTGCTCCCTCTTCCTGGACGACAGACAGGCACAGATGCAGGTGGTTAGGAGAGTCTTAAAGAAATGCTTGCTTTGCAGAGGAAGGAAAATTTTCCATGTTGCCATAAGGGGTTGTTAGGCCACTTTGCACGTGAATCAGCAAGATTTCAGGAGATTGTGGCTGTGGGGGGGGGGACTGTCTTGTCGGTGTTGGATTAGATTTGGTCCTGGGTTTCGAAGTGAGGAGCCACTCGGAAGCAGTCGAGTTCAAACAGATGGGGTAAGTATAGAAGGCAAAATGAGGAACAGTTTTTTTTTTGGGGAGTGGTTGGGTTTTTTAAGATTAATGACTCATCTTCACCGTTTTACACCTGGCCACTTCCTTTGCTGGTGTTCAGATGTTCTGATTGTTAACCCAAGCCCCCGTCTGTGGCCTTTGTTAGTCTCTGGTGCCTTTAACAGATGGGATAGCTTTACAAATAACCCATTCTGGCTGCGTCTGTGTGCAGCCCATCGCGCCGGAGGTGGCAGAGGGGAGCCGCTGGAGACGACCAGGCCTTTCGTCGTCATGGACGGTCGCAGGATGCACCTGAGCAAAGCTCTGCAGGTGAGTCACCATCTGTGTCCCCATCTGGGTGGTGCCCTCAGTTCGGTTTGCCCTCCTTTCGGTTTGCCCTCATTTCGGTTTGCCCTCAGTTCGGTTTGCCCTCAGTTCGGTTTGCCCTCAGTTCGGTTTGCCCTCAGTTCGGTTTGCCCTCAGTTCGGTTTGAACCAGAGGGTTAAATGCTTGAACTTGGACAACGGTCCATTATGTATGTTGTTTTAATTGGGAGAAAGGGGGACTTCTTCCGGAAATGACTTCAGGCCTCCTGACAGCTGCATGGGAAGCTTTCATCCTCCTGAAGCAGACCCCACCAGAGATCATACCTCTCCATGCAGGAAGCTCCTCAGCAAATATGAAAACCCACCAGTTTCCTGCTTTCCTGCCGTACAAGTTTGGGAAGGAAACTGAGCAGCAAATTCTTCTCCCTGGTGCTGGACACGCCTGGCACACGTGACCGCCTGTGTGAATTTGCGGCCTCCACCACGTTCGGTTAAAAAGTTGAAATTGGTCACCATCCAAAGTAGGGGTCCTTACTGGTGGGGCTGTATTAAACTGCGCAGGAAAGGTGTGGAACGACTGCAACATTTTTCATAAATCTATTTTTCCCCCAGTCTCTCGTCACCCCTCAATAGAATTGGGCGTGGAACCGTTGTTTTAGAAACATTAAACTGATAAGGATCATTCAAGCTTGAGTCAAATCTATACTTATAAATGGGAGGGAAGAAAATCTTTACTCAGTTACTACTCGCAGTAATATACAATAAAGTTGAAAGCTAAATTTCTCTGGTAGTTGAATGTATGCAGGACCCCATACAGGTGGGTGGATGTGATAAGCCTTGTAATGTTGTGTTGGGTGTTTGAATTATGGCATATAAATGAAACCCTTACTATTAGTGTTACAAATAGGTCTACACTTCGAACCCGAGCCAGGCCTCTGTGGGAGGTCTTAACCCCGCTGCTTCTGTGCCACAACAGGCAACCAAAAGCATCCAGGGAATGCAGGATCTTCCATGGAATCTCATCTTATTCTGGATCGGGGAGGTGTAACTCTTTGCTAGTTCAGGGTCTGAGTGCTGGAATAATTAGGGCGTTCATCATTGTGTATGTGCTAAACTGGGGGGGCGTGTTTGAGCGGCCTCGATGGTCTTATGTGTTTGGGGACATGAACACTGAAAGTGATTATGGTGATTGACTTGCTAACGTGACTGTTGTGTGTTTGTAGAGCTATGTTACCTTGCCTGAGGGATTAGCGTTATTTCTGGATGAGACGGGTGAAAACATTTGTGAAGTCAAATAGAAAATCAACAGTGTTTTTGTTGCATGCGCGTAATATTTGCTCAAGCAAGAAAAGATTCACCTCAGGATAAAGTCCCAAAAGGCATCGAAAAGCGTTTCACTGGGAGCTGGAGTATTACGATTTCAGGTGGAAACGTCTGAAAACGTCTTTAAATTGGGGATGTGGGACCATTATCAACCTTGTGCCAGCATCTACATTCATACGCTGCTGGTGTCTCAGCACGTTAGGGCTCTGTACCTGTGGTGAGAAGGTTGCTAGTTCAAATCCCCGGGCCTGCAGACTGAAGCCGCTGTTGGGCCCCTGAACAGAGGTGCTGCATGTTGGCTGACCCTGCACTGTGACCCCCCCCAAGTTCGCTCTTGCATGTATTTGTTTGTGTGTCTCATGGAGAGCAGGATGGGGCAGGAGAAAAGCAATTTCTCTGTGGGGATCAATATAGTATCACTGTTCTGTTTGTGTTGAAGTGAAAGATACTAATACCTGTGTCGCCCTGAGGACGGATTGTCTTGTTTGTCAGATGGCTCTCCTGCCCTAAGCATGTCCCCCTGGATGCCATTTCAGAGGATGGTGGACCTACCTGGCTGGGCTCAGCGTCGGTTTAACGTGATGGAATTGTTGGCCACTCAGACCGTCCTGCCGGGCCGTGTGGGGCAGTGTGGGGCCGTTTGCGCCTCAGCGGGTTAGACCTCTGTCTCTGTCACCGGAAGGTCTCCGGTTTGAATCCTGCCCTCGGTAGATCTCTCTTGAGCTCTTAACAAAGGCCCTTAACCTCCCGAAAAGCAAAAAATGTGCCAGATAAATGGCTGACCAGTGCTCAGACCCCACACTTCACCCTGAACTGTGTGTGTGTGTGTCTCTGTCTGTCTGTCTCAGAGAGCAGTAGGAGGGAATTTAGAACAATTTCTAGGACCTCTGAGTGACAGGAGCCTTAAATATTTTGGAATATAATTGAATTGGTCTGGTTTGGGGCCCCAACATGATATACTTTCATGGGGCATAAAATTTCTGGTGGTGCCCTTGGAGAGCAAGAATGTGTCTGCGAAAAGAAGCCTTTCGATGTGCTGTACAAGTATTGCACACAAGCATCACTTCATTTCACTGGTGCACAATGAGCAGTGAGCCTCTGCCTTTACATGCACCCCAGTGGTAATAGGGCCGGTGTTCTGCTGGACGCAGTTGGAGGGAGTTGCAGCTGCCTTGTCCTTTCCGCGGCTCCCTCACCCCTCCTGGCCCTCTCTCCTCTCTGAATGGACCCCGCCCTGCATTCATCTGGGTGTGAGCTCATACTGCTGGCAGCCACACTCACAAGTCCTGGGCCATTACCTCACTGGGGGGGGGGAGGGGGAGAGCGGAACGAGGGTGAAAGGCTAGGAGAGGGAGGGAGGGAGGGGCCGTCTTTAGTGGTGTTTGCTCTCCTGCAAT